TGGAGATGACTAACATCTTGACCCTTGAGAAATTGAATTTTTTCTTCTCCAAAGACGTATTCTATAATGTCATTTTTGAAATTGATATTCGCATGAACCTTGTTAAACAGGTCTAGGCCTACGATCCCATCAAACAGAGTTAGATCCGGCAAAATGAAGAACTCTGTTACAACTCCAAATAAGTGCACTTTGCATTTGTTTGTAATATTTGTGAATCCATGTATGGATTTCACTGTAAAATCTTTATCGACAGGCTTAACCCCCTTTAGGCCCTCTAGAGGTCCGATGTAATTCTTGGAGGCTCCCGTGTCGACAAGAAACTTTATTTCCCGCCCCCCTAGTATCTTAGAAATCCAGGGCAGGAGAGATCTTCCCCTAAAAAATTCACTTCCTCTGCTTCTAGGTCCTCAACAACTGTCTCAGACAAATCTTCATATGACTCTGAGCAAGACTCTTTATCGTGAGTTTGGCTCAGATGATTCACTCTTTGGAGTTTGGGTCCCGTACGCCGGTCGGAGGACGCCTGGCGCTTCTGAAATTGTTCATTTCGGTTTCCTGTAGAATTTGTAATTTGTCGTAGGCGAGATGACGAGGGGTCTACATCCATCGGTTCCTGCTGAGGTTGTGAGGCCCGATTTTCCCCCTGCCGATGCTGGCTAGAATTTGCTTGGCGATTATTCCTATATTGCCTCACGAAATGAGGATTTTTTTGGTTATCAGGGTTTGACCTATTGTACGTGTTCTGACTATTGTTGTCCCTGTTACCCCTTTGGCTGTTTTCTGATTTTTTGGTGACGTCGGTTGACCTATTTGCGAAACTGGCCGCGAAAATGTAACGTTCGTGATTTGCATCGACCTCCTGAGCGAGTGCCAACGCGGACGGCAGATCACTAGGTTTCGATGCAAAAAGGATATCACATAAGGGCTTTCTGAGCCCAGAAATAAACACCCTAAGAGCATTTTCCCGATATTTTTCATTAATTGCATCTGCAATGTTCGCTTTGTGGGACATTTTTGTTTTATTGGCGAGTGACGACCTCGTCCTCGTCGTAAAATTCCAGGACACTAGAAGAGCCCTGCCTTAATGTGGATAGCTCTTGCTCCACTAAATATATCGGTCGCTTATCGGAATACGTGATGTCCAGTCGCGCTATAATGGCGTCAAAATTTAGGACTGTGCTAAACGATGACAAAAGCGCATCAGCAGCACCGGGGATTTTATTGCGTATAATGGTAACGGCTTGATAGTGCCGTGAACTACCATCGAAGCCTTTGAAAATTTCGTATGCGTTATGTGCCGCCTCACGCCAGGACACATAACAGTCGGGTTGTCCTGAAAATTCGGGCAATGTTTTTCATATTTCGCAGCTATTGGCTTTTGAGATAAATTCACAATTTCGTCTTGCATGACCTTAAGTTTATCCTCAAACTCCCGTCTCTGCATTCCTAAAGCGGCGGAGACGGCCGCGTTTACTACATGTGTTAGCTGTGCTTCGTTCATTTTAATTTCCGTTTGTTCTGTTAGGTCAATACTTTCGAAGTTGGAAATTAGGTCAGTTAGGTCTACCGTCGGTCCGTTCATATACCGGGCAACAAATAAATAATTTTTATCAATTTAAATATCCACTCAAAAATTTGCTCGTTTTTATTCAAAAATTTGACTTCGAAAATTTTGTCCTAATTTAAATATTCACTCAAGAATTTTACATGCTCTGATTTAAATATTCACTTAATAAGCATTTGTCTTACTTTAAATATTCACTCAGAAACTCAATTTGTTTTAATTTGAATATTCACTTAAAAATTTATTAATTCAAACAGAAAAATGAGTCTCCCAACTTACATTAATTTCATGGTTTTTTGTTTTTTTCTGGTAGCTGCAATTTCCGGTCTGCAATATTTAATTAGCTATTCTCCTTCTGCTCTCAGTTGATTGTTGATGTGGTTATTTTCTAAACGTCACTTCGTCTTCTCGTGATTTACTGTAGTTGCACTAGCCCTTCGTTTGGGCGCCAGATAGGATATTTGTTCCTTTGTTAAATAAAATAAATCCGTTTACATTTTAATAGTTTATTATGACCGACCCAGGTCTGCGCCAGTGAGTACCAAAGACAATACTAACTACTCAATACAAAAAGTTATTATTACTAAGCTACCCTCAAGCTATCAAAACGCTGTCGCTGCCGACGCAGCCGTTGAATAGCAGTTGTGGTGTCTTGTAACAGCAAGCGTGAGAACACAGAAACGCTGACTAAGGGCACTGGCAACTTTTGAATGTAACTTTAGACTTGCTTGCATTCTTTCGACTGTCTGCGATACTTGTTGTGTCGATCCTGCTGAGTCAGGCCACGCGCAGCAATTTTAGGTAATGGCAAACCTGACTGTGCTTCCCGTGATAACTTATACATACTTTGTAGCAACTGCAGTTGTCAGCTGATAGTTGCCAGTTGCCATCTGAAATATCTTTTTGGCAACTAGCAACGCAACTGAAGCTCGCTTGCTATCGATAATCTACCCATAAGGTTCGATTTGGCGAAGAATTTGTGAAAGCAAAGGTTCCTTAAATAGTTCGCTGGCTCCATAACTTTTCATAAAAGGGAAGGCTTTCAGAACGACTTAGTTTTGCGAAATGTGTATCTGCTAATAATATTAGTAAAGAGGTGGCCAATAGATTGTCATAAATTATTCACTACAATAATGTCATATAAAAATAAAAACTTGTTCCTTTTTTGTATAGGAAGACCAAAATAGCAATGGGACAGGGAAAAACATGCGTTTGAAAAACTATTCAACGTGATCCGCTAACGAAACGTTTACAAACCTTTGAGAACGGTACTTTGCCTGCCACAAACAGAGCAAAGTGTTGTGGAAAAATGTTCGGTTAGCAACTTTTGTTTTCATTAGTTTCATCCGCACAGCGTCCGCAAAACATCTGCCTACGATATCGTTTGCGGATATTTGGTCGGCTGGGATAGAATGGCAAAACGACATGCTCAGTTGTTTGTTTTTTATTCGTAATCTTGGCACACGTTTGCCACATTTTTTTTATAAACTTTACAAAAAATACCCAAAGTCAAAGGTAGCGTGTTTTTAATACACTTTGCTTTTACATTTTTATTTGCATGCGTTAGCTACAAACCAAACACAAAATGTATGACCCTGAATGAGAACTACAATTTGAGTAAATAAATGATGGTAATCAGCCCTATTCTGCATTTCGATTACGTTCCCGCATTACGCTCCGCAACAATCGTAATTTGGTATTCTGAGTTACGATGGAATCGAACGAAGAGAGGAAGAGCGAAAATATCTTCGAAATCAGCTGGTTGACTAGGAATGTGTGAAATCGAAACAAAACTAAAGAAATATTTGCCACCAAACTAAAGCAGCTTATGAAGTTAAAGTTTGTAAATATTTTAAAATAACTAAATAGATCTAGCATCATTGTAATTTAAAAATAAAATTTCCTTTGTTCTTAATTTAAGTGGAAACACAATTATAAGAATGAAATCCATATTTACGGCGTTATTGCTTGAAGAGGAGAACGAGTCCTAGATTGCTGATGCGGAAGTTAAAAAGCGGAGATGTAGGAACATGTTTGATCTGTGGGGACACGACACACAATTGTCACATCTGGCAACTCTACATCGTATTTGACACCTTCGGTAATTCATTTTTGATCTCTTCGCTGGCAGTTATAGTGCAGTTGCAAGTTTTTTCTAGGAAGCACAGTTAGAACATTCTGGCTTTTCTACGTGCAACACGCATTAACATACGCGCTAATTTTGATTAAAGTTTTTATACGAAGTTAAGTTATTGAATTAAAGATTTAATTGAATAAAATTCATATGCGGGTCTTTCATTCCACACATAATTGGTGACCCCGACAATTTTAAGCAAATTATTGACAGTGCAACCAGGTCAATATGCCCACCGGGCAGGCAAATTCCCCGGACGGCAAGGACAATGGCTCAGCATCACAAAATGGAGCCGCATCCGAGGAGTTCTTCGAAGCAATCGTTGCTTCACAGTCGCAGCAACAGGCTGCACATATCGCTAAGTTCGAGCGACTTGAGCTACCACCATTCTGGACGCAACAAGTGCAATTGTGGTTTATCGCGGTCGAAGCCCAGTTCCAACTGAGGAGAATCACTTCTGATGCAACCAAATACTACGCAGTGGTCGGTCGCCTTGATCAGGATGCACTCATCATTGTAGAGGGTATTATTACAAGCCCTCCCGAAACTGATAAGTATGCCGCGCTAAAGGAAGTTCTAGCGAATCATTATAGTATTTCACAGCAGCGCAAGTTCAAGATGCTGCTATCGGGATTGGAGTTGGATGAACGACGACAATCGGAACTCCTCGCAGAAATTAATAGGCTGGGCGGAAACAAACTCGATGCCGCATTCATTCGCTTTATGTGGCTCGACCGACTCCCATCTCAAGTGCAACTGACACTTGCTGCCTCAAACGAACCTGATAATGCAAAACTCGCTCTGCTGGCCAACCGTATGATGGAGGTCCATTGCGATACTGGTAACCGGTATGTTATGCCAGTAAAATTCTGATTATGGCAACTTAACTTAACTTAACGGAATGTAGGACTTAGAGAATAAAAATGAAACAGATTTCGACGTGGCATTAAGTTAGGTTAAGTTTCGGCTGTTCAATTATAAGCAACACCCATTTAACAGAAATTTTAAGAGAGAGCCGTAAGTTACGTTAAGTTGCCATAATCAGACCATAACCCACGCAGCAACCAACGAAAGCAATGTTTAACTTGACCAAGTCGACAAACTGGCGAAGCAGTTAGAGAAGGTAGCTAAAACGTTAAACCAAGCGGTGTTCGCCGACAACCGCGCGTAGATTAATATGCCCAGCAGGACGTCGAATGATCCGCAGAACTCGAACACCAACAGCACGACAACGGTTCGCTTTTATCATCGCAGGTTTGGGATGCGTGCTAACAAGTGCAGGCAACCGTGCACATTTATGCAATGTCCAGAAAACTCAAGCAAGCCTCAGTAGCTTCGGTGACTACTGGTGGTAAGACAAACCCTCGCCGATTATTAATTTTCGACCGCACAACTGGCACGAAATACCTCGTCGATACCGGCGCGGATATTTCCGTGACCCCGCCTCACCGTACAAGCCAACTGACGCCAACGCAGCTTCGACTGCAGGCTGCTAACGGCACTGTCATCGACACGTACGGCGATAAACCATTGGAGTTAGACATCTGGCTCCGCCGACCGATTCGATGGATTTTGTGCATAGCGAATGTGCCGTATCCAATAATCGCCGCAGACCTAATTCACGAGTATGGATTGTTAGTGGACCTCAGACGTGGGTGCATCATAGACCCAAACTCAGGTTCCCGCAGCACAAGTTCATACGCAACGGCGCCAATCACGGCCATCACATCTCTCCACGAAACAAATAAGTTTACGAGCACCCTACGAGATGTACCTGAGCTGCTTGGAAACCCGTCCAACCGCACGGCCAGCAAACACTCAGTGAAGCATTATATTCCAACCACTGGACCACCATGTGTACAACGTGTACGCCAGTTACGTGCCGAGTGCCTCAAAGTGGCTGAAGAGGAATTTCGCCTTATGGTAGAACTGGGACATGCCAGGCCTTCCAACAGTCCTTAGGCTAGCCCACTACACATGGCGAGGAAAAAGAATGGTGAATGGCGACCATGCGTCGATTACCGTAGGCTAAAAGAGCAAACCATCCCGGACCAGTACCCAATCTCGCTTCTGCACGACTATGCTACTATTCTAGCGGGTAAGAACATATTTTCCACCATCGATCTTCGGCGCACTTTCCATTATATACCGGTAGCAGAAGAGGACGTCCCCAAGACAGCTGTTATAACCACGTTCGGGCTCTACGAGTTCGTCAGCATGCCATTCGGACTCCGCAATGCAGCCCAGTCGTTCCAGCGTTTCATAAACGAAGCACTAGCCTATCTCGACTTCGTTTATACATCGACGACCTCCTCATAGCGTCAACCAACGAGCAGAAGCACGCGCAACACCTCCGCTTGGTGTTCCAGCGTCTCAGCAAGTTCGGCCTGTGTATCAACGTGGATAAGAGCTTATTGGGTTCAGCTGCCGTCGATTTTTTGGGGTACCGCATTACAGCTCATGGCTCAGCGCCATTGCCAGATCGAGTAAAGTCACTACGCGACTCTCCGAAGCCCAAAACAATCCTGGATTTAAGAAGGTTCATCGAAGCAGTTAACTTCTACCGCCGCCACATTAGGAACGCTAGCATCTTAGCACCACTTAATGAATTCTTAAAGGAATCGAAGAAAAATTATCGCCGCAGACTCTGAGGAAGCCTTCGCTTCAATAAAAGAGCAGCTCGCAGTCGCCACACTTTTGTCGCACCCTTTCCCAACCGCGGAGATTCGGGTTACATGCGACGCTTCCAGTGCCGAAATAGGTGCAGTGCTGGAACAAGAGTACAACAACACTTGGCAGCCGCTCGGATTTTTCTCAAGAAACTATCGCCTGCACAACAGAATTACAGCACGTACGATAGGGAGTTAACTGCAATCAATAATTTCCGCCAGTGGGTCGAAGGCCGCGACTTCGTGATATGAACCGACCATAAACCGCTGAGATATACTTTACTCTACTCTTTACTCTTTACCTCAATTAGGAAAAAAACGACTTATCAAGAGAAGATCGCGCGAGAGAATTGGAAAACGATTATCCACAGTTCAGCGAATGCAAGCTATGGCAAGACTAAAACCTTATCGAGTTATAATATATAAAATTCTGTTAAATTAAATACATTTTATAACAAAAACCGCACCCGTTTACTTTACCCCGAATGTTCACACCAAATGTGGTATTTTATAATTATGACTAATAAAACATATTTAAAACTGGAGTTCGGTCAACTGCCACGTTAAAAGTTTTAAGCTAAAAAGAAACAGGGTGATATCCTCTTACAACTAAATCTATAAAAGTTGACACAGTTGTCAAAGGGCTATGAAATGACAAGAGAATCGAGGTCTTAATGAGACTAAAACTCGATCAGACACCACAATGGGTCATATGACCCCAGAAATATGCTGGAAGGAGCGCTTGCACAAAGTGTTATTTCATTGTGTTATTTACTTTGGACCTTTTGTAAACTGCTGATTGGTTTTTATGAAAACTAATTATTCACAGGTAACTTTATTTAAAACAAAATTAGTAGAGATATGCGAGCTGTGGAAAAACATAAACTAAAGATAGTTTAGTAGAGCAAGTTGACTACACAAGTCTCTAGAACGGGTGTTCAGAAAAATTGTATCATTATCGAAGAAATTGTCTCTTATTTATTTATCCGAGCAAAATATTAAACTTTCGCTAACATGTATCTATAACGGAATGTCTTCCCTTTATTTTAACATATTAAATATTATTTTCTGAAAACCTATTAAAAAGATATAACCCATTTCATGCGTACCGATTTTGAGTGAACTATGCTTTAGAAGCACCCCAGTTCAGAACTAGAGATTTTCCCCACAGGAAGGTTTTTATTAGAAGTTAAGTTATTGAATTAAAGATTTAATTGAATAAAATTCATTAGTGGGTCTTTCATTCCCCGAGGGGATTTTTTCAAAAAACATCTTTAAGAAACTATTTTTATTCATAAAAAACTCCAGTTTTTGAGGTATTTTTAAATCGGTCCAGCTCGCTTAAATCTTAATATTTTTCCGAAATATTTTGGTGGACGGCTTAAAATATAATAGGTTTTATAATTTGTTTTTGTATGGGGAGTGATGCAGTCTAATGTACATACATCTATTAATTTTATATAAAAAGAGAACAAATTGTATTCAGTACATTTCAGTCTTATTTATAGATAATGAAAACAAAAACGCCTGGACTTCCTCTTTGAAAACCCCGCGCAATATCCCTTTTTGTGTCCATTATTTGAGCCAATTTTTCGTATTGTCCGTATTGCCGCTCGCGAAAATACAGAAATCGAGAAATTTCATCTATGATGACCTTTACGATCATGGCCAGTATATTTTACTTATTTTTTTAATAAGATTTTATTATTTAAGCCCACGAAAATAACAATCGAAAGGTTCGTCAACAAATTTGCAACTTAAAAGAAAAGATGTTTGCGGTTGAGTACGGACGTGTTCTTTATTCGCTCCATAAAAAATCATATTTATCGTGTAAGTAAACATATTTAACCATCAAAAGACACACTAAACTATTATTCGAGTTTTGTGTCGTCGCGAACTGCCCTCAGCAGTATAAAAAATCAATCGCGAAAAATTACTAAATAAATAATAAGACATTGTGTGTATCAAAATAAATAAACTATTGTTTACATACAAAATAAAAACGGTAGTTAAGTGAGAGATGAGCAGGGGGTGCTAAAAGCGTAAGTATCGCGTGCACGATTGAGAGAAATAGAAATTGCGCCAATCGCGGTACCGCTAATCCGCTCTTTGTGATTTTGACAGAATCAGCTATGTGCGTGATTTCATCTTGGTGCAATTGTTGATTGTGAGCATACGAAAAAACCAAATTACAATTTTAATATGTGTGCGTTAATATTTCTGCGTAGTTTTAAACAATTATTGAGACATTACAAAGCAAAATGAAGTGTGCAGTGGCAAAGTGTAATACTGAAAACAAAAGGAAAGCGTGCGATAAAAGTTTTTTTTTCGTTTCCTAGACGCAAACCTGGCGAAAAAGTGGAAGCAGTTCTGCTAGCGAGGAGATGCATTAAACACCAAATCGAGCTTTGTGCTATGTTTGTGAGCTATGAGTTTCTACATGGAACTATGTTCGCCTTTCCTTAGTGAATTGTAGTAGGTATATTTCCATGGTGAATGTAGACAGTTGCTGATTTAGTTTGCTGCAATGGCATACATACAAAAGCAGTTTCTACAGTAAATAGATACATGAACTTCACTACCTATTTATTTTTGTTAGTACCTGATTCTTTTTAGTGCTGGTATGAGGTAATGCACCAGTGGATACGGTCGCCCGGCGCTAATTCAAGCGGCATCTTACCGCGCTGTTACGTACCTAATACAAAACAGTACCCAAATTATTATACATTTAAAAGTTCAGCTTACACCCAGAAAAAGGTTTAGTTATAATAACCAAGATTTGGTTATAGTGATCAAGTGGCATAGTTGGATATGGCGAAATAAATATATAGTTCACGAAAGTCTGCAATTTACTTAAGACTTCTAGTTGGGACAAATGTATATTTGTTAATAATTACAAAACGACTACCTTGATTGTACAATATTGTTAGTTGAATAAAGTCATTGTTGAGCATATATAAACAATGCCTTGGTTGTTACAAGTTTTCAATTAATTTTGTGAACTTGCTGTAGACTTGAATCAGCTAACCGTTTATTATTGGAAAAAAAGTTTCAGTTTGACACAAATAAAAATTTACTCGATGTTTGTTGTGTTTACTTTCTTCTTTTATTTGCATATATTAAGCATAAAAAATACGTACATATTTACATAAGTTAGTTACTATATATCCACTGAAAACCCCCGGTTGGCATCAAACTTTATATTTTTAAATAACTATGCGCGCACCGAAACAACTCGCGGTGATAGAAAAACCGAGACAAACAATTCTGTGCATGTCACACACACCCTTTTCTTTCTCTACCTAGCGCAGCGATCGACATACCACATGCGTGTTTCACCCATATACGAACAGCGGTAGCGGAGCAATGATTTCCACGCACAATGCAATGGTCGGCAATAAGTGGGTCAAACGATTCAATAAGTGGGACTGTGTGCGTTGCTCAGCTCTTGGTATGTGAAACACATATGTGCTCAGAGAGCGCTCAGCATTCTTTAGGGGTGGCTCACAAGCATCACGATTGAGAGAATACAAAGGTTGCGCCGATCTCGGACCGCTATTCCTCTCTTAACGAATTTGACAGAATCGTTGTTTGCATGACGTCACACTGGTGCAACTTGTTTACATTTTCCTTGCAAAATTTTTTCTTCTTCTTCCATTCTTGCTCACGTTTTGGCATTTCTCTCTCGCAATTGCACCAGTGTGACGTCACACAAAAGTTATTCTCAAAAATCCTCTCTGATCGGCGCAATCTTGTATTCTATCATTCTTGCACAAGCATGAATATGTTCCACTCTCAAACCAAATCGTGGGTGCCTCAACCAAGATTTGGTAACTATGACTAAACCATGTGTTGAAAGAAAGCTTATCTGCATTAGCAGAGCTTAATAACATCCTTTTATGAACCATACGTTAAGTTTAATGGAATTTGTAGAAATATGATTTAAAGAAATATTTATTAGTATTAACCAAACCCTTCAACTAAATTAACGATTTGTTACAACCTAGATGAATATTAGAAGCTTTAATATATTTAGTTATAATTACCAACCCATGGTAATAGTTCCCAATCCTTGGTAACAGTTCCCAAATATTGTCAAAATTCGGGAACTAAATATCTTTAGTTGTCGAAACGAATCCTTTTTCTCAGTGTAAATTATGTTTTACTTACATAGGGTATTTGTTTCCAAAGAAGCCACACTCATGCATCCCCTCGGAAATGGTACAAAAGCCGTCAAATCAAAGCCGAGGGGTCAACAACCGTGCTACCGTGCACAAATATGAATATGCACTC